AAATTATCATTAAATTTTTTAAAATATATAAGCTTTCAAATTCTTTAAATGGACCAATTGAAAGTGAAAAAGAGATTAAAGAAGAAATTAAAGATGAATTTATAGACATTATAAATGTTGATAGTAGTAATAATAAAAGTAATAGTATTAATAGTGATATTAATAGTAATGATAATTGTAACAGTAATAGTGATGATAATAGCATTAATAATAATAGTGATAGTATGAATAATAATAGTGATAGTGTTAATAATAGTGGCAATGAATTTTTTTAAATAAAATATATGAATTTATTATTGTTAATTAAAATAATATGATTATGCTTATTTTGGAAACTAATAAAATATGTATCGTGACTATTTTCTGAAGTGCTTAATTTTAAAGAAATATGATAATACTCAAGTTATAAAATAGAACATTAGTATCTTTATAATATAAAAATAATTAAGTTTTTAGCTTACAAATTTTTATTAAATAAATTTTATTTATTATAAAAAGTTTATTTATAATTATAAAGTTTAAAAAAAAGATATTTATTTAAAAAATTATAAGCTATAAGTACATTATTTTGATTTTTTCTATTTGTTATATATTCAAAATTTATAAAAGTTTGTTCATATTTTGCTTTTTGAAGTCTAATGATTTTATTTAAACCTTCAGTATTATTAATATTTAAAAGAAATTTTTTTTCTTCATTAGTTTAATATTGTTATGATCAGTTCTTTATGTTACTTAAATGTTATAAGCAAACAGATAATATATGTGATAAGCAGAAGGTTTTATTTATAGTTGAGATTAGGTAAAATATAGGTATCGGTAGTTTATTTGATATATACTAACAAATGTGTACTGCCTCAAATATCAATGCTTCTGTATTGTACAAATGTTCTAAATAATCAAACTAAACTAATCTAAACTATTTTTATATTTCTTTACTTGAGTGAACTCCTCAAATCTACAAGGATTTTCAACTCATATTTATATAAAATCAAAAATATATAATTGTTAACAATGTTAAATAAATAAACTAAATATAATTAATAAACTAAGTTAAATAAATAAACTAAGTAGATGACGTTAACGAGATTAACAAGATTAACATAGTTTTTAGGGATTTACATTAGAAAGATCATCCTAATGATTTTTCATGTAACATCACTCTCCTTCAAGATTTTGCGTTTCTGCAAAAGTATCAGTGGCATTTTCCACGAGAGTATTATATTCTGTTACTGAGAGACGTTCAATCATTTCAAGGTCACATAATGTGTTCTCACAATTTGATCTGGTCCTAAAAATTCAAAAAGATAGTAAATTTGAACAGCTGTTTATAATAGTATCCAGATATTTTTTGGAATACACAGTCCTTGTAATAAGATTCTCAATTATTTCTATCAATCTTCTAGATAGAAAGCATTCATCATCATTAGAATACAATTGTATATTCGCTTAGCTCTTAGAAACGTTTGCTTTATCAAGAAGAACTTCATTTCCAATACCATTGTATCATCATATGGTAAAAAATAAATAGCTACTTTTTGTGATTCAATTCTTTGTAAGTCTTCAAGAATTAATTGAAAATTTTGAGATAAGATTTTGATATAGGTTGGCAGAATGTCAAATTTTCCATTTTTTTTGTTTTTTTTAAGTAATTTTGCTACTAATTATACTTGTATATATATCTAAAAGGAAGTAATATCCAGAACTTTTTGTAACATTAATTATTGATTCTCAATTAATACAATTAGTTCAGGTAATACACGTTGATGGTATTTTTTAAGCCTTGTGTCATTGATCAGTATTTTTAGTACTTTGCGATCTATTGTCCTTAATTTGTACACTCCGATTCCAAGATCTGCATGAATGTAGTATATTCCTTTCTATTGCTCTTCTAATTTCTTTTTGTTCTGTATTTCAGTTTTATGCATTAAAACTAATTCTCCAACTTTAAAAATATATTCATTTGTTAAATTTTTATCATGTTTTTACTTCTGTTTCCTTTGGGAATTTTCTATATTTGACTGCGCTTGATTAATGTCATGATCTATTCTCCCAGTTATTTGTCATATACGATTTAATAGATCATCTTTATCATTGGTTTCTTTTGCTTGTACCTTTTGTGTTTGTATTTGAAATTCTATTGGTAAAGTTGCTTTTCTTTCATAGGTTAGGTAAAAAGGTTCATATTGTATGGTATTATGCCTTTTTGTATAGTATGCAAATAATGTGAAAGGAATAAAAGTATTCCAATCATTCTTATTTTCATTTGCAAATTTTACCAAGGTTTCATATAGTGTTCTATTAAATCTTTCCACAAGTCCATTGGTCTGGTGTTTTTCTATCTGTCAAAAGTTACTTTAGACATCCATGTTTGCAAATGATATCTTTATAAAAGAAGGGGATTACTGATGATGCTTTTGCATTTGGCAATACTCTTACTTCTGGTCATTTAGTTAAGTAATCTGTTACTACTACAATGTACTTATTTCCTCGTTTGATTATTGGTAGAAGTCCAACAATGTTCATACCTACTCGATCAAAGGGTTATTCAACTTTTATTGGATGTAAAGGTCTGGTTCTCTTATTCTTGTCTCTTCTTTGACACTCATCACAAGTTTGAACATATCATCAAGTATCATCGTATATTTGTGGCCAATAGTATCTAATTTTGATTTTCCTGTACGTTTCCTCTAATGAAAAGTATCCAGTCAGATAATCAGAGTGTAAATTATACAATATTATGTTTTACTTCATTTAATTTTAACAAATTTATGTAGGCGGTACAGTTCTTGCTTATTCTTTTTGTAAATCTGTCCTTCTATTACAATAAAATATCTTGACTTACATTTGATTGCTACCTGTTGCTGTTGATTTAATTGTGTTGGCATTTGAAATTCTGTGAGATAGTATACCAGTGAAAAATACGTATCCAAGTCATGTTGGGTTAAATCAAAAAAGAATTATCATTAGAGTATTTGTTATAAACAAATCTGTTTGCTAATGAATTTGTGGTTAAAAACTTTCTAATGTTATATTCGGCTTAATATATCTACGTTTGTATGAAGTTTTTCAGATCGATTAATAATTTTAATTTCATATGTGTTAAGTACCATTAGCCAATGTCTAAGTTTTCCAACAGGATTTGTTATGTTCTTTAAGTAAGCCAAGGCAGCATGATCAGTGATTACTGTAAATTTATATTCATGTAAGTAATAATAATAATATTTGACAGCCTAAATTATAGCTAGGCATTCTTATTCTGTAACTGAGTACTTTCTCTTAGGTAGTTTCAATATTCTACTTGCATATGCAATAACTCATTCTCTATTTTGTTCATTCTTTTGAGAAAGTATTACTCCAAAAGCAAAAGAACAAAGGGTTTGTGAAAATCAGGGTATGCAAATATTGGTGGTGTAATCAAACAATTTTTAAGTTATTCAAAAGCATCTTATTGTTATTGTGTCCAGATGTAAGATGTATTCTTTTTAATAATCTATTTAATGGTTCAACTGTATTTGTGAATTCTTTGATAAATCTTCTATAATAGGATGCAAGGGCAATGAATTCTCTAATTGTGTCAGGTATCTTGAGATGGATAAATTTCTAATTGTAATTATTTTATCTGGATCTGTTTGAATTTCTTCTCCCAAGAAAGGTAATTTCTGTTCAAAGAAGAAATATTTCTCTGGACTTAATTTTAGTCCAGCTTGTCATAATCATATAAATACTTATTCTAAGTATAGAAGCTAATGTTGATATCATTAACATAAATGATTACATATTGCCATAAGATATCTCGTTAAATAGTATCCATAAACCTTTGAAATGTAGCAGGAGCATTATAAAGACTGAAAGGCATGACATTAAATTCATAAGTTCCAAATCTGGTAGTCTTTTCTTTATCCTTAGGTTCTAATTTAACTTGCCAAAATCTACTAGCAAGATTCAATGAGATAAGCTACTGTGAACCTTATAATGTTTCCAACAAATCATCAATATGGATAGTGGATAGTGATCCCTTTTGATAACATTATTAAGCTTACGATAATTGATACATAAGCACTTTTTACCATTCTTCTTCTCCACTACAACTACTGGTGAAGTCTATTAACTTTTTGATGGTTTTATTAAACCAGTCCTTTATGAATTGTTGATTATTGTATGAGGTACTATAGAACTTTTGCTTTATTAGAGTTGCTTCTTTAGTATCGATAACATGTGTGATTACATTTGTTTTTCCAAATTGATTAGGTTTTCAAATGAAAAGATCAGTATACTGTACCATGAAATCATCAAATTTTTTAGACTATTCTGGTGTAAGTTTTCCAACATGAAAGTTTACTTTTTCTGTTTTCTTATATTGATAGAAGGATTCTTTTATATTTTGATTTTGTTCTGCTAAACTTTCTATTTCATGATCGATTGCTTGAACTTCTTCTACAGATAATTCTTCTGTGTAGCAAAATAGTTCTTTCTGCTCTTCATCTTCATCATTAATCTCCTCATATTCTTCTTCCTCATATTCTTCCTCATTTTCATTATCATTAACTGATTCAGTTCTTATTTTTGGGAATTGATGGAATTCAATTAGCACATTTATTGCATGTTCACCCTAGTAAAATGTCATAACTTTGTTTTTATAACTTATTTTAGCATCAGTCTTTTCTAACCAGTCATTTCCTACAATAGCGTCATAAGAATCTGTTCTAGTTACTATAGCATCAAAGGAAATTATTTTTCCCTTTATTCTTAAAGGAACATTAGTAACTTTTTCTAAAGGTCTTCTTCTTTTACCATTAACATTAACCATTATTGTATTGGAGACTGTGTTACATTCCATTCCAAGTTCTTCGATTAATGCAGCGGATATAATACATCCTGAAGAACCTGAGTCAACAATTAATGATATTTCCTTATTTTTAATATGTGTTTGACAGTATAAGGCAGTTGACTTTTGATTATTATTATTAATAGTTGTTTGATGTATCCCATTTGTTACAAGGATGTCATCTTCTTTATTTTCGCCTGTGTCTATTTTCTTAGAAGCAGATGGTTTATTGAATGTTTCATTATCATTGTTTGGTTTAGATATAAATGGAAGTACTTCAAATGAAAATGGATTATCTCCTTGTGATATTTCAAGGCCTTTGCCTTTATTTGGTTTTCTATTAATTGGCTTTCTTAATTTATTCATTAGATTTCTCACCACTTTAGTATTTGTTACTAATAATTGTCCATTAGTTATGTTAACTGGTTGGTCAAACAGTTGTTGTATGGTATTATGTTAACTATAGGTGGTGTAGCTAGAGGTTTTCTTTTCCTTTTGGTTTAGTAATCCTTTTGCAACTGTATCTCTTTGTTGATTTTCTCTTTCTCTGACAAAATCCTCTTCATTAATTACTCGTCTTCTTTTATTTATTAATGCTTCCTGTATTGATAAGTTAGAGAAAACAAAAGAAGGTTTTGTATCATTACCCTCATGAGGTACACCTTCTAGTTTAAAGACTGATCATCTTATTGTTGTCCTAACAATTATGCTAACAATTGTAATGCTTGATTATTGGCATTGTTTGATAGATTATTATTAACTGGGTTATTAATAGGTAGTAATACGTTAGCTGTCAAATTATTCACTGGAATTTGGTTTACAATGGATTGTGATTTAACTGGAATATTGGTCTGTTAGTTACTTTTATTATTGAATTAAGTATTGAGAAAACAGTTGCTCTTAATATAGCCAGACTGTCTATAGCAATAGAAGGTAAGATTTTTACGATTGCAATTTGTAGAGTAATTATTAAATTGATTGCCATTATTATTTGGTTGGCTATTTTGTTAAAAGATCATTTGATTATTCCTTTGATTGCCTTGATAGCTTCACCTGTTATTTCTACATTAAGTTGTTGTACTTGTTGTGATAGTGCGATAATAGTATTGTTTAAGTATTCATTTGATTATCAACAATTAAAGGAGCACTATATTTGTTCATATAGGCTTGTATTGCAATAGTATCTTTGTAGGTTAATTCGTATTGTTTAGTTCTTTCCAATGCCACGTTTCATGTTTGGTCATTGAATAGTTTTACCATAGAGCTCCGAACAGGTTGGGTCGGATCGGGTAATTGACTTAACCCAACCTGATAAGGTCAGGTCGGGTCAGACATAAAATTGATCTAAATTAAATATACATTTGATCCGACTCGACCTGACCTGACCTGTCTAAAAAAGGAAACTAAACAATTATTAATTTTGTTTAATATTTTTTTAAAAAAATATAA